GTGAGAGAAAGCGAGAAAGCAAGTGGCCAGGTCCAGGACTTGAACCGCAGCTGGGCATGTAGGAGTCCACCGCCCTTAACTACTATGCTACCTGCCGGCCCCCACCACAAAATATCTTAATTAATCTAACTACTTTCAATAGCAAGTTCAGCTGATATATACATATCTGTGAACACATGCCTGACTTTAGGCATGAAGCTCTGTGAATAGAATAAATATACTATAAAGTAGCACTTAGCTGAGGTTATATAGCTTATATATAGCAGTCATTAAATAAGTATTTTTAATATTTTTTTAATTTCGAGAAAGGCAGTTTTAGCTTTAATAAATCAAAATAAAAAAATATTAAGAGAACTTTACTTAAGACTTAAAGCCAGGGAACAGGTTAAGATTCTGTTCAAATAGTAGGTATGTGGACCTGTTGACAACTCAAGAGAAGACAAAAATCCTTAACTCTGGAAAACAAAGCAAAGAAGATCAGTAATATTTTAGTCAAAAGTCATAAAGTTCTATTTGGCCAGTTCAGTCTCATGTACTTTATCTTCTGTTGTGGTCTGATCTTTCCATTTAAATTCTAGAAGATGACATTCAGCTCTGTACTTGTCCCTCCCATTAAGCTGCCCATTTTCTTTTGACCTCTTTTTTCTGTGTGCCTGACTTTAGTTTTCCTGATATAGCACGCCCTTCAGAACTTCTTGGAGAGCTGGTCTGGTGATGGTAAATTCTTTCAGGTTTTGATATATCTGAGAATCTGAACCATTTCTTCTGAAGAACAACATATTTCCTCACTTAATAAGATTTCTTCCAGGAAATACAATAGTTTTTACTATCTCTTGTTCTCTAGTTTTCTAGAGAGATTTTAACTTCTTAAGAAAACAACTTGAAGAAATTTTGGGGGGAATGCCTTTTTATTATTGGGTTGTAGCAATAGAAAAGCATAGAAAAAATACATCATGACTTTTCCAATGACCAATATTTCTCACCAATTGAAACAGCTTTCTATGTTCAATGTTTTTAAATGAAGTTTTCTCATGTGTTTCTTTCTGTTGATGAATGGTTTCTACATTAAAAACAGAAATAGTCTATGAAAAACTGGGCCAACTTCACTAAAGGGCAAGTACGATTTTTCTGACAAGAGCATTCATTTTAGAAGCTATAATATGAAACTGATTTTTTTTCTCTTATCAGAATAAGCCTCTCTTGCTTTACCACAGAAGTCTGTGAGGCAGTTAAATTAAGTAATTTGTAATTTGTTTTAAAATTAAATGTTTTTAGAGAGTTCTGCTTGCCAGACACAAACAATAGGCTTCTGAATCAGGGTTTTGCAAATACAAAACCTAATAATAGGTGGATATCTATTATTGCTTGCTTCTGGTTTTCTTTTAAAAATGGCTTGAGGGGACCAGCAGGTGGCATGGTGGTTAAGGTGCTGGACACTCCCATATGGCTGTCCAGGGTCTGGTGGCTTGCTTTCTCACTTCCTCTCTCTCTCACTCTCACTCTCTGTCTCTCTCTAGTCAAATTTTAAAAAATAAATAAATAAATGGATGAATAAATAAAATCAATAATTATTTCTTAAAAATGGGTTGAAATGGGTTTTTTAAATTTTGTTTTTAATTGACCCATAATAAATGTACATATTTATGGGGTACATGTATATATTGAGAATCAAATCAGGATATTTTGCATAGCCATCCTCCATATATTTATCATTTCTTTCGGCCGTCCTCTCTTTCAGCTATTTAGAAATATACAGTGCAATATTGTTAATCACAGTCGCCTTCATAATAAGCAATAAGTAGGCTTATTATTATTATTCCTCCTAACTAATTTGTACCCACTGACCAATCTCTATCAATGCCCCCTTCTCCTTTATCCTCTCCAGACTCTGATAACCTGCTCTCTATTTCTTTTTTCTGGAGAGGTCTTTGCTATAGGGCACATGTGCTCACCAGAAAGACAGAGAGAGAGAGAGAGAGAGAGAGAGAGAAAGGAAGCGAGAAAGCACCCCCCCAGGGGGGATGGCCACGCTGCAATCTCTTCTCTTCCATTCTCCCCTCCGGATCTTGGGCACACACGCATACATGCCGACGTGAGTTTAAGCCACTGGGTCCAGGACTCAAACCACGATCGGCTTCATGGGAGTTCAGCAACATAGCCATTATGCTAACTGCTGGTCCCACCTGCTCTCTATTTCTATGAGATCAACTTCTTTACATTCCACTTATGAGTGAGATCATGTGATTTTTGTCTTTCTGTGCCTGGCTTAGTTCACTCAACATAATGTCTGCCATGTTCATCCATGTCATTACAAACGACAAGTTTTCATCCTTTTTTAATGGCTGAATAGGAGTCCATTGTGTATAATCTACATTTTCTTTTTTTGGAGAGGTTTTCACTATAGGGTGTGTGCACTCACCAGAGAGAGACATAGAGACAGAAAGTGAGAAATCACCCCCCAAGGGGAGATGGCCACGCCACAATCTCTTCTCCATTCTCCTCTTGGGATCTTGGTCACACACGCACACGCGCCCGGTTTGAGTTTAAGCCACCAGGTCCAAGGCTTGAACCGCGGTCGACTACTTGAGAGTTCAGCCACAGCCATTACGCCAACTGCTGATCCCTACATTTTCTTTATCCATGCATCTGCCAATGGACATTAGGTTGATTCCATAACATGACTATTGGGTATGGTACTGCAGCAAATATGTGACTATTGCTGTTTCTTTGAGATACTGATTTCATTTCCTTTGATTTTAAAGGGATATAAATGAAAAATAAAAATATCCTTCATAGATATGTTCTCTTAAAGACTGTATTTATAATATTTGTCCAGTTTTTAAAAAGCAAACCCTGAAGTGAGGTGAATATTACTTTGTACCCTCCTCCCCACAAAAAAGCACCTTAAAAATACACGAAACTTTTTTATTCTAAGAGGGGAGAATTTCATGAATGATTCAGAAAACTCTTCTAACCACAGTTTGTTTCAGCTTGTCTGCTTGTTCCATCCACTTGGTGGCATGACAGGCATGAGAAATACCACTGGGCCTCTGACCCCACGCAGCCAAACAGTGATTCCCAGCCTTGGTACAAGTGAGAGTCACCTGGAGCTTCTCAAACTCATGATTCCCAGGCTGCATCTCATTTCAATGAAAACGTAATTTCTGGAGTGTGGGTCCCAGGCTCCACCATTTTTAAAGTTCCCTTGGTGATTCCAACCTGCATCTCCTGCAGAGAAACCACTCCGCAGATAAACTTCCATGGGTTTGATTGCTAACCATCACAATCTTTTTGGGTCTTTTGTAATTCAAATTCAATTCAATTTCACCTTCTCTTTCATCTAATCTACCAAGAATGAAAACTCTCTCCTTTTTGTTCTTTCTTACTGGATGGTAATTGCACCTTATAATGCCTGCTGGCCATGGAGTAACAACAACTTACTTTAATTGTGTATTTAAAACAATATTGTAGCATGCCAAATTTAAATGTGCCCCAAAGTTACAAAGCAGGGCTTCCCCACGGGAAGCACCTTTAATTCCCTGACATAAGGATTAGGTAAATGATGACAAAAGTTTCTTTGTTCTCCGGGGTTTGTAAAGGGATAATGGCTTTCACTAGAGAATTCGAACTAGAGTTCTCCCAAGTACCACTGTGAATCTAGCAGAGGTACTTTCATAAATTTTAAATATTAAACACTGAAAAAATAAATTTAAAGTGTGAGGGATGATTTAATTTAAAATTTGATATAAGGGAATGTATCACAGTGACGCTAATTCTGCCATTTTGGACATTCAGGTTGTTTCCAATTCTTCTTTACTTAAAATGATGTCATGGATCTATAAATATTAAGCTAAAAAAAGTTTTGGTCTATAGTGTTATGGGGAAAAAAATCAAGTTATATAATGGCATTTTGAGTTTGCCCTTTTTTAAATAAAAAGAATGCAACTTCGAATAAATGTTGAAGTACTTGTTTCTGTGCACAGTTAGTATTTGCATATGCAGCCGTCTGCCCACCGAGGCTGCTTTCCTGCAGAGCAGACTGCTTATTCATACACACTCTTTAAATATTTGTTGAATAAAGTAGAATAGTCTCCATTTCTGGGGCATGAAAGACAATGATTAAGTTCCTATTTTGTGAGAAAATATGCTCTTTTTTCCTGTGAGCTAAACTTTGTATCAGTGATTGGGTAGAGATACAGAGTCGTTTAAAGGAACAGGATCAGGGATGAATATTTTGGGTTTAAAAGGTGGGATTTACATGATATGGTCTCATTTCTTTTAGTGACCACATAAGAAAGGTCATTTACTAAAGAACTGGAGCAGGGGAAAAATAACTGAGAACTTAAAAAAAAGACAAATACAAGATAGTTTAACAGCATCTCTGAAGAGCAGTGAAGGTCTACTTGACCTTGTTGGCACTGGAGTCTTAGAAATCCCTAATGGGGCCCAGCTGGGGTGCAGTGATGGCACAACGCTCTGCAATGCTGGAGGCCATGGGCGAGGTGGGGGGTTGGTCCTGGGTTGAACACACTGAGCACATGTGTGATCCCATTGAGGGTGTTTGTCCTCTCTCTCCATCAATAAATCAATCAATCAAGAAAGAAAACAAGGAAGAAATCCCAAATGGTCATGATGTAGTGCACCAACTAAACGAAAGGTCTTTGCCAGAGGCAGGAAGTGGCAACCTGCACAGACACTGGGCACACAGCCTGCCTCTGCTGCTCCCCTGCCCCGAGACCCCATCGACGAAGGTGTGGGTACCTGTGGAATGTAGAAGAGCCCCAGCAGGTTTGCCACCGCTGTGGAGATGCCTGAGCCAGTTGCTCCCACCACAGCAATGGTGGAGGGGATGTGGTCTGAGCAGTTACAGAACTCATCAAGGTTCAGAGAATCGATTTTGTTCTGGGCCACAAAACTCAGGGTGGCCTCCAAGGCCTTGGAAACGGTGTTGCAAGTGTCAAATATCCTGTACCCCAGCGTCATGTTGGGGAGAAGGGCCGGACTGCTGTTTATCTCCTCTATGGCAAATATCATAGCTTGTAACCAGCGAAAACCACGGAAATTATACCTGGAAGAAAGAAGACATGAATCACGGCTCTGCTACTTTTTGGTTTTGTAAACTGCTCTTGAAGACCCAATGCCTTCTCTCTTTCACTTTCTTTTCTTTCTTTCTTTTCTTTTCTTTCTTTTTTCTCCTTTCTTCCTTTCTTCCTTCCTTCCTTCCTTCCTTCCTTCCTTCCTTTCTTTCTTTCTTTCTTTCTTTCTTTCTTTCTTTCTTTCTTTCTTTCTTTCTTTCTTTCTTTCTAGAGATTTTTTGCTATAGGGTGCGTGCGCTCACTGGGGAGACAGAAACAGACAGACAGAAAGCAAGAAATCACCCACCAAGGGAGATGGCCATACTACAATCTCTTCTCCTCTATTCTCCTCTTGGGATTTTGGGCATGTGTGCACACACGCCTGGAGTGAGTTTGAAGCTACTGGGTCCGGGACTTGAACCATGGTTGACTTTGTGGAAGACCAGCAATGTAAACATTATGCCATCTGCTGCTCCCCCAATGTTCTCTTTATAAGGTGGGGATTCCACTTACCTCATAGGGTGGCTGTGAAGATGGTGATATAATTATGAAATTCTCAGCACAGTGCCTCACACAGTATTAGAGAGCAATAATAATAAAGAATGTAACTAGTAATCCATTGAATGATCCATATCTGCCTCCTTTAGCAAGGAATTTGAAGTCACTGATGTGAGGCACTTTAATAAAGGGAACATAGAGATTTCAAAAGAAAAAGGACCAGGGAAAAGATAAACAGATGAGACTATCAGTATGTGGGAGCTTAACACTGACCTGAGATATAGTGTCACAAATTTGGACTTTGACATTCCTGAAGATCTAACGAACAACCTCGTTTTTATGAACAAACACCCAGTGTAGGAAGTCTGTACACAAACAGTGGTTATTTCTGGGTGATAGAATGATGAGTTAAAAATTGTGTGCTTTGGACATATTTATACTTCATAGCTAAAACGAACATGCATTGCTTTTTAAAGAATATTATTTTAAATAAAAATCAAGCAAAGCAAAACAAAAACAAAAACAGGCCCAGACAGTGGTGCAGCAGTAATGCAATGCTCTGAGAGGCTGACCCACCCGGGCAGGTTCCGGGTTCACGTCCAGAGACCTCCCTGCACCAACTGGACAAGTGAGTGAGCATGATCCAAGGCTGGCTGAGGCTGGGGGCGGATCACAGCATGAAAGACCCTGGTAGGGATGCCTATCTCTCTCTCTCTGTCTCTCTCTTGCTCATCAGAGAAATAAATAAACTTAAAAAAAAAATGAAGCAAGTTGACAACGACATAGGCCAACAATATAGTTTGCACTCTCCTGGCACTTGGCTCAGAGTGAGAGCTCGAAGTGCTCATCATTGTGTCAGTGTCCAAAGGGGAAAACACAGCAATGAGACAGGCTCTCCCTTTATATCATGGGCTTCTACTTGAACTCAAGGTGAGAAATATGATTTATTATACTCCACTGTATCAGTCAATTTCTAAATTTTCAGGTCTTTTTTTTTTCCCAGGTTTTTCCCATAGGGCATATGCACTCACCAGAGAGAGAGACAGAGAGAGGGAAAGTGAGAAATCATATCCCCAGGGGGGATAGCCAAGCCACAATCCCTTCTCCTCCATTCTCCTATCAGGATTTTAAGCACACATACACACACACACACACACACACTTAGCATGATTTTAAAGCTACTGGATCTGGGACTCAAACTGCGGTAGACCATGTGGGAGTCCAGCACCTTAACCACCATGCCACCTGCCGGCCTTGCTGGTCTAACTTTTTTTTCTTTTTTTTGAGAGGTTTTTGCTATAGGGTGCGGACTCTCAGCAGAAAGACAGAGAGAGACAGAGAGACAGAAAGCCAGAAATCACCCCCTAGGCGAGATGGCCACATCACAATCCCTTCTCCTCCATTCTCCTTTGGGGATTTTGGGCATGCATGCACATGAGCCAAGTGTGAATGTAAGCCAACAGGTCCAGGACTCAAACCTCAGTCAACTACATGGGAGTCCAGCGACATAGGCATTATGCCAACTGCTGGTCCCAGCAAGTCTAAGTTTTAAGGAGAGAATTCTTTGTTTCCTTTTATTTTATTCTTTATTTTAAACCTACAAAATCATGAAGAGATATTGCATAATTTTCTTTTATGCAAATATCTACATTGCTCAAGTGATTTTACTATTTTTCTTTAATGTAATTCAAAATATATATTTTTTCAGGGCTAGCTTCTCATTTGATCTGAGGTCTGTATATACATGGCGCACACACAATTCTGTCCAACAGAGTATGATGGAGAGATTATCTGTTCACACAGGTCAAGTGAAGGATTCAGCCAGAATCTGAGATCTTGCACTTAGTTTTTGTACATAAGGAAAATGTAAAAATTTGATTAATTTACTAGCTTTCATTAGGACATGAACAGAAATCCAGTTTTGTTGGACTAGTCCTAGTTTTCACGTTCATTTTCCTGCTATCAGAAAGACCAAGGGAAAGTGGTAAGCTAGATCCTGGAGGTTGCAAGTCTCAGAGGAAAAGTCCTCCTCCCTCCTGGAGGCTGGGGCAAGATTGAACAGCAGTCCAGGCCTCTGCTGTCTACATGAAGGGAGGCTATGTACAGTCCTCTTGGACTGCAGGGATCCGATCCTATTTGAAAGAATTGTGTCTAGTCCTGTACACCAAAGGGTTGTAATAAATTGGGGGCCATGAGATGGAGAATAGCTACTACAGAGAGGAGTCTGGAAATCGTGGAGGAGTGAATGAAAAACTGATGCTATCTGGCCTAGAGCAGAAAAGACTGAATGGGACATGTGAGTTGTCTTCAAATCACTGAAGAGGGAGTTAGATGTATTCTGTCCTGTTCCATCTGTGAAAGTACTATTCTGTGCTAGTGGGGGTAGGGATGAGGAGTGAGGAGGAACAGAGGAGGATTCAGCTTTCTATGAGAAAGACTTTCTAACTAAATCAGTTCCCAAATGCTATGGGTTGCATTTTGAAGGTGCCTGGGTCATGCCAACCACTGAGGTTTCTTTTGACTCCTAAATTCCAAAAAAATAGAAAAAAAAAAAAAAGTAAGGCAGCCAACATTATTATTGACCATTGGGGCAAGTGAGGTTTATGGGGGAATTTTTCTACTCAGGCTTGCCTTCTAGGTACTTCAGTCTTCCAGTAAGCAGCACTGGCACCAGACGGACAATGACTTGGTCGCTAAATGACCAAGTACATGCTTTAATAAGTCAATGGAATTTTCTGCTCAATATCTTTGACATTATTGACATTATGGAAAAAAAAAACTTAGGAAAGAAAGGAAGAGGGAAAAAGAAATAATCACCATTGCTATTATTATTATTAGAGAGATTTTTGCTATAGGACACATGCGCTCACTGGAGAGATAGAGAAAGAAAGTGAGAAATCACCCCCTGCCCCCGCCCCCAGAGGATGGTTACATCACAATCCCTTTTCCTCTGATCTCCTCTCGGGATCTTGGGCACACACACATGTGCCCAGCGTGAATTTTAAGTCTCCAGGTTCGAGATTTGAAACACAGTTGACCATGTGAGAGTCCAGCGATGTAATCATTATGCTATCTGCTGGTCCCCCAGAATGAGTTTTAAGTTACCGGGTCCAGGACTTGAACTGTGGTTGACTATGTGCAAGTCCAGCAATGTAACCATTACACCATCTGTTGGTCCCACAATCACCATTTTTGAAACAAGGAAACCAAGTATGAAAAAACTAATTTTAGGCTTTTGTGCAGCTTTTCTCCAACCACCCAGAAGAAAAAGAGACTTGGATTTAACTCCTGCTCTTACCTGATACATTCCACAGACTCTGGCCTTGATTTTAGATCTTGATCTTTGGCTGCTACTCCGAAGTGAATAGGAAAGAGTCCCCCAAGGATAATGTCCCCTTTCTTCTGGGCTCGCTGGTCAGGCCCATATGCAGAGGTGTGCCAGACAAGAGCCACCAGGATCAAACAGCAGCTATAAAATGTCATGGTTCTACCTTCTCTCCAGGAGGAGAGACAAGTGTGCCCGTGGTTTGGGGGCCTCGAGAACCTCCCCTGTGGTACAATTCACTTCCTGCAATGGGGGCACATGTCTACAGAGTGGTTAGTGACAGAATGGAAGCTGTGGCCTTGGAGTCTCCATTTCTGCCTTCTCCATTGCAGACTTGCACAGTGGGTGTTCCTTGAGATTTTAGAACCCACATCATGTTGTGGTCATCCGTGACACATTCTAAAAAACAGAGAGATAAAATGGATTAGCCTAAACCTAACTCCTATCTTGTTATGGTGATTGCAACAGAGAGGCTCAGAAATTCCATTTAGGGGGGTTTAGGAGTAATAGATCGAGAAAACATGGCTTAGATTCACTTTTTTTGTATCAACAGTACTTCATATAAGATACAGAAAAACTTCAATTGCCTGTAAAAGAGACCACATTTTAGGGACACCATTGATGAGCTAAAGTCTCCTCTGATGTTGCTGTTGAGTTTTAATTCATCAATTCTTCTGCATGAATAATGCATAGGAGTGGCCTGGGAGTAGCAACTTCTTGAATCACAATGACATTAATGACATTTTATTCAACACCTATGTTCTTATAGAAAACACATACTTAATCACATTTAAGTTAAAATTTGACTTTGAGCTAAATTAAAATGTCAAGAAAAGACCACTTATTCTTTATTTATTATGATAAACTCCCCCTAGCCCTTGGCCTCTGGTCGCAGTTAGTAAGGATTCAGATAAATCATGGGTTTTACATAGCTCCACAGTCGGATCTATAGAAAAGCCTTTCTGCTATAGCATGGTTAACTTAGTAGGAACACTGCCCCTTACTCTGCACTCCACTGCTCCGCCTGTGAGCTAAACACATGTTGATGTCAGCTCAACACACAGCCTCTCTGAGGTTCAGGGCCAAGCACTAACTGCCAACTGGACATCTCCACCTGGATGTCTCCCAGGCGCTTCCAACTTAGCAGGCCCCCAAACTTGTTCTTCTTTCACTGTTTTCTGTCTCAGAGAATTACATGCCACCCACAAAGACATAAAATAAAGAGCCATTATTGTGTCTCTCTCTTCTTATCATTGTCCTTCATATTCAGACAATCACCAAGCCTTGTAGACTCTTCTTCCTAAATCTCTTCTGGAGTCCATCTACTCCTCCCCATCTCCAAGTACATCTTAAGTCTACCATCAGTTCTTATCTAGATTTCAGCAACTATTTCCTAACCGGCCTTCCAACCTCCAGTTTTGTCCCTCAGCAATCCATCTTTGCACATCTTTAGATGCTGTAAAATATGTAGCACCTGGTGGTTTGGAGCACAGGCTCTGAATCATAGTTCCACTGTTTCATAACATATGACTTTGAGAAAGTCATCTAACCTCTCTAATCTAAAAATAATGATGTACAAAGAGCCATTGGCACAGTACAATTAATGAACTCATGGAAAATACTACAGCTGTGATGGGTATCTTTCCAGCCTAACCCTTGCCAAGCTTCCCTTTGAACTGCACACTCCCAGCTTACTGAACTTCTTTCAGTTCCTCAAGTATACCAGGCTCTCCACATGCCCAAACTTGGCCTGGAAAACATCTACTTATGTTTCAACTTTCACATGTCTATAATTGTAGGACATGGCTTGAACTGTAGGACCTTTGCGTTAAGTGAAGAAAGAAACTACTTCTGGGGCAAACAGCCTTGTATCAAGGTGCACGGCCTGAGGAATGGTGCACATGGAAGATTTCAGCCCATTCAGTTGTGCAGCAGGCGACTTATGAGACTCTTTAGGAGGCCCTCTCTGAACTCTCAGCCTAGGAAGATCCACTTCCAAGAATACATTTTCTTACCTCTTGGATGTTGGATCTCCCTTTGTGGAAGATTCATCACACTTCATTATAGTTATGTGAACCAATGTCTGATTCCAGAGCCCACGCTCTTAACCATTGCCATATGCTTCCCCTGGCCCCTTGGAATCCCATCTTCTCCACTAACAGCTATTCTAGCAGAGAGTGCTGGGTCTGTAAACACTCAACTTCCAATGAATTGCTGCCCGTTCTGTCTGAGCATCCATGACCATCCCAGGTCTGTGACTCCCTGTCCTGCTTTTAGATTTTTGGCTTCATTCCTTGGACCTTGGTGACAGATTACTCGTGTATTTGATAAATACATGCATTGAGGTCTGGGAATATGAAAGTGAGGAAGATATATATGCTCTGTCTTCAGGAGTTCCCAGTTCATTTTGGTATTGAGAATCAGAATGCATCTCAACACTTACAAGTGAAAAAAAATGTAACTTAGTTTTTGCTGATTAAATTCAGCTTTGCCCCACTTTCAGGACTTAGTACAGTGTCTGAAATCACAAATGCTAAATAAGTGTTGAGTCAATGCATAAGGAAAGTAAGTAGGTCTGGAGCCATGGCATAGGGGTTGAAAAATATGCCCCAAATCCTGATGGGATGGAGAGCTGGAAGAAAAGGGACTGTGGCATGACCGATCCCATCATGGGAATGCTTTCTCTCTCTCTCTCTCTCTCTCTGTCTTTCTCTCTAGTAAGTGCACAACCTCTGATAATTAAAAAAGAAAGTACTTTGGAAAGGGACAGAAACTAGCATTTATTGATCTAGGCATTGTTCCAGGTTCTTTAAACATTCAATATATTTTAAACTTCACAATAATTTTGTAAAAAAAAGTAATACTAATTCCACTTTGTAGATGGGGAAATAAATTCTTTGCATGTTTGGCTTACTCAAGTCAGACATTCTGGCACTTGAATTAAGAATGCCTCGAGAACTCAGAATTTTAAAGACTCTCATGTACTGAATTAGGTAGGAGGGTAACATTATAACTGGCTGGGGTTAGCCACGAAGACCTGTTAACTTTGTCCTGTAAAACATTAACTACTTGGAAAAGCTTATTAACTTCATTAGTCTACTTAACAGAAAATTCATGGCAAAAAGTAATAGAAGGAGAGACTTCAGGTCCATTTGCAGCTCTTAACTCCACCAGTGTAATGTAGTCTCCAAACTACCTTTTTAGTCCAGTTACCAGTTGCAAAGCTGAGAGTCATCCCAGATGCTCCATCTCCCACCCCTCCAACGTCCATCCCCTCATCCTGCATTTCTGCCCTCACTCCCTACTCTGCCTTTTCCTTTTCCTTTTGCCAGTGCCTTAGTCCAGGCTTCCATTGCTTCCCACCTTCACTGCTGCGAAAGCTTTCTTTCCTCTCTACCCCACTTCTCCCACCCCTTAGACACTGACAACCAGGGAAGTACCAAGTGTCATCCTAGCAGAGGTAGCTTAATGACTGGATTCCATCATTGTGCTTTCGGCTTACAGTGGTCAGAATAGGAAGGTGCTTCAATAATCCCTAACATTTTGGCTTTAGTATTTGCAGTAGTAACTTTTTAAAACTTTTCCAGAGGATGTGAGCACTTGCTAAAGAGAGAGGAGAAGGGGGAGAGAGATAAGAAAATGAGAAAGCATTCCCTCCAATAGGGGATGGTCACACCACAATCCCTTTTCCTCCATTTTGCCCTTCTTTATGGAATTTTGGGCATGCACAGCTGGCATGATTTTCAAGCTGCTAGGTCCAGGACTCAAACTGAGCAGTTGTTCATGTGGGATCCAGCCACCTTAACCACTACACTACTGAATGCTCTAGCAATAGAGACTTCTTATTGTACCCCTTATATCTGCACTCCTTTACTGCCATAGTAAAATAGTTTTTAGCTGGACAAATGGCCATCCGAAATAAAGACTGTTTCTTCTAATGCTTTTTTTTTTTTTTTAAGAGAGAGAGAGATTGTTTTTTGCTATAGAGCATGTGCGCTCACTGGAGAGACAGAGAGAGACAGAAACAGAAAGTGAGAAATCACCTCCCAGGGGGATGGCCACACTGCAATCCCTTCTTCTCCAATCTCCTCTCAAGATTTTGGCATGCACACACATGTGCCCAGCATGAGTTTCAAGCTATTGGGTCTGGGACTTGAACCACAGTCAACAACGTGGGAGTCCAACAATGTAACCATCACACCATCTGCTGGTCTCTCTCCAACTCCTTTTATAATTTACATGTGGTCATATGATTATGTTCTGGCCAATGGGATGTAAGCAGAAGTGTCCTGTGACCAAGGTTATAGGAGACTAGCTTAAGAGAGACTTTATCTCATCACTTCCCCTTCCTCCATTTTTGCTGCATGGAGGTGGATATGACAGCTGGAGCCCATCTTGAACCATAGGGAATGATGACATCCAGGGAATGGTCATGCCATAAGCTAAGGATTTCATGAAACAGAACTTCAGTATTGAACTATTCCTGGACTTTTACCTGTAGAGAAAAAGAGCTTCTGGCTTGTTAAGCCACGGTTGATGCATTTTTTCCTTACTGCAGTTATCTTGAACAGTATCTATCTGAGAGTCACAAATAAACTCACTTGTTCTCCTTACTATAAGAGTATTCTATTTAAGCCATATATAATTATGTTTGACTGCAGGCAAAGAAGTATGGCATATAAAGCTGATGCTAATATTTGCTCTTTCAATGGTAGATACATCTTGGAAGAAGAAATGACCCGTGGATCAGCTGCTTTTATGTTTAGAAAGTACTTAGTGTCATAAGGAGTATTTCAGGACCTACTGCAGATGATGGCTCATTAAGTCCCACTCCAGGAGATGTGGGATGGGAGCCAAGAGAAGACTGGTTTATGGGTACCATCAGTTCATGAATTATGTGTGCAATTATTTATTCATTCAAACACATTTACTGAGCTACTCTGTATGCTAGACACTAGGAAGTGCAAGATGATAGGGGAAGAAAGTCCAAATTCTTGTCTTTATGGTATGCATGGTTTAAAAGGAGACAGAAAAACCAATTATGATTATAGTGATGCAAACGCTACAAAAGAGGCGTGGACTAAGTGTTGAGGGAGCATAGAGAGAGGACAGATGTTTTCTGTCCAGTGCCTGCCCAGAATAAGAATTACATCAAGGTGGAAGTGGGAAGCTGCACGAGGGCAGGACTTGCTTCTCTTCTTCACCATTGTAGCCTAGCACCAAGCACAGAGCCTGAAATTTAGTAGATGCTTCATATATATTTGTCGACTAAATGAATGGAATGTGACAAGAAAAGACCGGGGACTGGCTGGCCAAGTCCAGAACAGAACAGGAACGAAGTCTCCTCCATAATATTGAAGGTTTCTGTGAGCAGAGGCTTCCCTATGGTTACCATTGAA